AGTTTAAAGTGACTGTGGAAATTCTGTGTATTACAAAAATTTATATCAAGAAAGAATAACCTAGTTTTAATTAAGAAAGAACTTGTATCGTTGAATTTCCTCGGAAAGAATTTATACCGGAAATTAACAAACGAGCAGATACGTAACAAATTGGTGTCAGAAAGTGGGACTGAAAAGAAAAGAAAAAGAAGATGGAAAGGAGAAGTTGCAAATCAAACTACAGCTTAGCAGATTTGATGGCAGCAATACAAGAACAACAAAAGAAACAAGAAGAACGAGAAAATAAACAAGAAAAGAGACTACAGCAGTGGTTGAAGGAGAAAGAAAATAAACAAGAGAGACTACAGCAGTGGTTGGAGGAGAAAGAAAAGAAACAAGAAGAACGAGAAAATAAACAAGAAGAGAGACTACAGCAGTAGTTGGAGGAGAAAGAGAAGAAACAAGAAGAGAGGTTACAGCAGTGGTTGGAGGAGAAAGAAAATAGAAAAGAAACAAGAAGAACGAGAATGTAAACAAGAAGAGAGACTACAGCAGTGGTTGGAGGAGAAAGAAAAGAAACAAGAAGAGAGGCTACAGCAGTGATTGGAGTAGAAAGAAAATAAACAAGAAGAGACTTTCACCTCTTTCTCCCTTAACTATTTCTTGCATTATTGGAAATTTTTTCAGTTTGCTTTTTGGTGACTCTCAGGTATTTCCTGAACTTCAGATCCCTTGAATCACTTTTTTTCCATTTGTATTTTTTTCATAATTTGGCTCTTTTTACCATCAATCTGCTCTTATTTTTCTTTTGTATATTCATCTTCTTATGTTGCTATATACCCTGTAATCCACTGTCTCCTCTTGTTTTTCTACCTCCATCTTTTGCTCTCATGCTGTCATGATTGCTCAAAAGTTTCCACATGACTCAATAATCTTTTCCACATATTCATGGATACCTCTCTAGCCTGGTAAGGTGCAGCTCTGGATACCTTCACCCATTCAATGTTTGGTCTATTGCTGAGCTGTATTTACACATTAATGTCCTTGTGATGTGGGCAGTTCAATGGGCCTGCCATCATCTTTTGTTACAACTACCTGGACATCCTGAATGGATTTATTTCAATAACTCCATTGTTGTTTCTTACATCCACTGAAAGGGAGGTTCTTGCTCTCAGAACCTCTGCTTCTTGTTCTTAAGCTTCTCTTTTGGGCTCAGGACAATGACATCTGGTTCTTGGCCTGGTTGCAGATCAGCTGTCACTCCCAGGCCAAGTCTTTAAATTTTCTGGTGTTTCTGGAGGTTTGTTCCCTCTTTGGGATCTTTATATCAATGCATTTGAGACTTCCTGCTATGCCAAGCTTCCATTTTTGGTCACCAGTCCCAGACTCCATGGCTCTAGCTGTATTCCCTCAGAGTCTGGATGGGCCTACTTTCTGTCTGTTTGCCTATTCCTTTCAACTTCTTCCTAGGAACCTGTTCATAGTTCACAGCCTCCCTTCCCAACTTCTTCACTTTACCCATCTTTGGCCTTCACCTCTTGGCATTCTGGGGCCTCTGTCTTTTCCATATTGGATGTCCCTTTTTTATGGTAGCCTCAGATGTCGATCTTTGACCATGATATTCCACACTTTCATCTTCAAATGTGGCTTTTGTCTGATCCCTTGGAAGAAGGGCAGGTTTATTTTCTTGCAGCCCCTCTTCTTTCTCATTCTTGTTAGCCATCCAACCTTGCAATTTATCTAAGCAAGTGAATAATTTATTGATGCTGATTCAGTCACCACTCCCTTGATCCAGGTAATCCAACACTTCCTAATCTCACTTTCTTTTTTCAAGGGTGGTCTTTCAATTTCTTTGATTGCTAGTTAATGTGTGGTTTTGTCAGTGATCTTCCATCTATTCCCTAGCCATTCTTCATTTTCCTTGATTTGGTCCACACACACACCTCAGGTGTTCTAATCTATACAAGTTCCTCTGTCCCATTTCTTCTAGTGGAGTAAAGGGAGAATTCTTTCTTCCCCAGTACCTAGTCACTAAGGAGATTGATATATGGAGAGTTCCCTTTGGGCTGAGTAATTCAACTTGTATGACACTGAGTGAATGCACCTCTCAATTGGAAATGGAGCTGGGATGTTTACCTGGAAGTGTAGTACAGTTAGTTCACCCCCTACACTTAGAACCAGATCATTCCTAGTAGTCATACTACACATACATATTCTGCCAACCAACAGGCCAGTTGAGCAGTCATTACATGACACCCACATATGCAACACCTCAACACCATGCAGGGTTTTTTTTGCAGTACCTTTTGCTCTGCCACCTATATTGGGCAAAGATTATTCCATGCCTGAGATGGAAACAACATCTGGTTTGAATCTGGAACTTATAGTCTAAATGTAACCTTTCTCCCATAGCATTTCATATTTTATTTTGAAATTTATTCCATATGGAGGACACTTTTCATAATACATATTTTACTGTAAAAATGTGTCTAATTTTAAATTTTCTGAAATGCTAGCACATTAATTTTAAACTACTATGATCAATGTTACTACCTTCATAATATTATGCTTTGGATTGCTTTGAATTTTTAACAATATAAAAGGAGGAGCCTACAGCTGATTACCTCTGTTCAGCCCTTGAATATCAAAAATGATTGATTTTATCTATGTCAGACTGGCTGGCAGCTCCCATCTCTGACATTCAAGTAGTGTTTAAAACAGCCTCTGACTGGTATTTACCAATTAACAGAAGTGCTGTTATTATGTGTAGGGATGGTTGCTTCATTCAACGGCTTGACACACACACAGACATTTTGTGCAAATAACACAAGGTAAGAGCTCTCAGTTCAATGAGTAGGTGAGTATCTTTCTGAAATACATTTTTAAGTAAGGAAAATATTAACATTTACATATTCTCAAGTTATTGAAACATGAAAAAATATATGAAAATTACAATATTAATTAAACTATAAAGTGACTAGCTATACAAGATATACAATAAGCAATCAGGGTATATGCTAGAGTAACTCATTCTGATAACTTTGGTGAGAAGAGGGGGAGGAATAGGAGGGGTAAAACTCTTGTATTATCTATGTCTTAATTCATCTGTTCAGCCTTGTCTTAAAGCCATGAGTAGTTATCTTTTTGTGTCAATAGTGCTGTTCCACCTTTACATTTTGTCTGCACGAGAGGTTTGAATTATTTAAAAGTACAATTCATTTTTAATTCCACTTATTGATTTTTCTTAAATGTTGTGAAAAATATTTGAATATTCTATAAAATATATATATATATCAATACTGAACAGTTAATGCTAATATATATATATAAGTATTGTGTTTATATCCAATTACATCTTGTAGTTAGTTTTTTAAAGAGTAATTCATCATAGGTTATATTAAATTAAAGTTTTCAAACTTATGGTAGGTTAGTTCAAGATCTCCATTACTACCTATGGAGGATCACTGGTCTGAGATAACAAAATTCAAATGCTGATGTTAAACGATGTTACTTCATTCGAACATCCTAAACCTGGATTTTTATTACAATCATCCATGTCTTCAGATCTACTATTATAACATCCCTATCTATGCTGCTGCATGTCTGTTTGGAAAAAAAAAAGTATTAATTAAAATCGTAAGATAACAAACAAACAAGTATATGTAGCTTAATATGTTTTATGTTTGATGAGACCAAAACATGTAATTTAATAGCAATAAAGTATAAAAGAATGAAGTAAAAAAAAATTAAGACAACCCTTTGATATTAAAAAGAGAAAATATCAAACAATATATCATTATTTAAATTTTTTGTGTGGCTCATATGCTATTAAAGACCTTGTAACCAACAAATTTAAGTCGTGAACCCAGACACATTTCCTTCAAAAATAGTCTAGAAAACATTGTTTTAAAAAGACTGGTAAATTTGGGGTTAAGATATTGGACATAGCTATTTTTTTTAATTTAATCAGTAAAAGAATATCAATCTTTTAGCTCTATGTAAATTACTGAAATATAAAAAAATTCTGAACTGGAAAATGATCATTCACTGTATTTCAGTTGCAAAACTGTTTAAAATTCTGCTTGTTTAGACATTTCACACTTTCTTTTATCAGGGGTTTACACAAGAATTAATCACTGAAAGGATAAATTTAGATTTTAGAATATGAAAATTTGAAATTCAATACTAAAATTATTTATTTTACATTTTTTTCTACATGTAACTTGCAAATCACCGATTTGGAAAGATCTGTATCACACCATACTAAGTATTTTTTTGCCTTTTACAACAGTCATTGTAAAGAATTAACAAAATAAATTTGGGATGAATCACACATTTTCTATAACAGACTAGGTGAGCCAATAAAAAGCAATAAATGTTGCCTACAGGGCACAAATGTAGGCATAGTTTACATAAAAGAACTGCTGAAGCAGATTGAAGTCACTTGGCTACAAAAACAATCAGGTTCTCCAAGAGAAGGCAGGTTATTGGTCAATGGGTCACCTCAAGGCTTGGGATGATATTCAATCACTACTTGTGATGAATTTTTCCGAACATACGGTGATTGGTTGTTTTCAACATTATCCCTCAGAAGTGTAGAAATATCCCCTGGTGGCAACATTTATTAATTTAGTTTTATCAACTCACCTTATTATCACCACTTGAGAATCCAAAAGGCTTCATGACCACACTTGTATATACAGAGAGAATGTTTCAGCTCTGCAATCTCTTGTTAAACACAATTTAATTTCTTGGTAACTAAAAACTGACTTTGAAAATAACATAAATATTACTTCAGTAATTCAGGTTACATTGTATTTGACCAGTAAATTTTGTAATCAAGTTTCTGAACATAAAATATAATTTTACTTAGCTTAAAATGTAAATATAAATATTGAAATGTAATCTGCACAACAGTAAATGCATAAGACAAAATAGTCCCTTCACATTCTAACTGCTATGCCATATCAACTTCAAATTTGACACATAAGACTACAACAGTGCAAAAAGTTTAGGAAAATTTTAGACATAAAAGATATTTCATATATAGTGTCACTGTGTGTGTCAAATATGAAGTATATATAGTTAAAGATTAAGGATTCATTGACAAACTAAAACATACACAATCCAGTATTTGTAACTTGTGTGACTGTAATAATATAGCGATCACAATTTTACATTGTATAACATATTGATTGTACTTTATACATCATGATACTATTTTCTTATATTCTAATTTCATTCAATATTTTCATTTCATTGTATTAGATATCCCAATCGTGTGATTTTTTCATGACTTATCAGTTTCAGTCTGTCCGATAATATATACACATACAATTTCTATGCATGCACATGGACATATAAGAAATTAATTAAGAAAATTACAAACTGTGAATATTAAATTTTTCAGAACAACCTTTCTAATTCACATACTTAGCTTCCTTTCCAATGTGAATGTGGTATGTATGAATGACATGGAATGATCTTACTGTACTGAACTGAGTTGAAATAAAAGTAATACAAATTTCAAATGTCCATAAGATCAAAGTAATAGAATGTCTGAGCAAGAGAGCTATGCCACCCTGTTAACTATTAGCATTGTTCCTATAGGCTTATGACAATTAACTAAGTGTGGTTGTTTACCCTTTCACAAGCTCATGTGTGATACTGTAATAAAACTGACTATTACATTGGCACAATTGGAGAGGAGGTAAACATATATATGCATATATGAAATGGACTCGGGATGAAACATGTTACTGTAATTTGTAACTCAGTTTACAAAGGAGGGACAGTGCCAAAATAACTTAAAAAGGCACTAGACATTACATCTACTGGCACCCTAACTTCAGGATAATTAAGTGAAAATCACACAATACAATGCATACATTGTTTGGGTGGGAATCATCATCTAATAGCCTGGAAAATAGAGATCACCACTTCCTTTCAGCCAGTAATCTTACAGTTAGTGGCAATTAGTTAATGTCTTAATACACTATCATAGAATATTATAAAGAAATTCAATTAATGATAAAAATATGTTTGGTTTAAGTGTTTAGATTAAGAAAATACCATTGAATCTACTCAATTAAATAAAAACTCTATTGCAGGTTAATTGTAGTTAGGCTAATATATGAACAGGATGTCCCCTGCTAAGAACTACACTAAATACTTACTTTAAACAGTCACCCATAGTTGGAACTAGTGCAGATGTGTTTGTCTCTGTATGCTAGATAAGTCATTAATTGTTTTTTTCCCAATGTATGCTGTACATATGTAGAGAAAGAGATGATGGAAACCATTGTTTCATTTTTTTATAATAAGACAAGTCTTCTGAAGTTGGTGATATGTCATCTTGAAAAAACTTGAATACAGTTCAAAATAAAGTTAGTTCTTGATGACTTTTGCTTTGGTATTTTTGAGCAAATTGGTTAAGGTTCATAATATTTTGTAAATTTCCACCTTTTTGCTTTTGCAAAGATGAAAGCCATCATCAAGAATGGACAATATCACATGCATTATTTATTTTGCTGTTTTGTTTCAAATAGAGTTGTTTTTAATTCCAAGCTAAATAATTGGACCTGGTATCTGTTCCTCTTGGTTGAATTTTATTTATTTGCTCTCTCTGCTTAAAACTGCTCATCATTCATATTATTCTTATCCTAAGTAACTTATCTGAAGTTACTTGCAGTTATGGTTGTTGTCAAACACTAATGTCACAATTTGTATGGTTGGAAATTTGTCATTTCTGTGAGCCAAATATCACTAAAATGGCTCATGAACTTCAAAAGTATGATTGCACATTGTATTACAAAGTTGCAAGAACACAGTCATTATACGTCAATGTTATTCTCAGATACACTGACTTCCTACTGGAAAGAATACTACCTGTGCTACATGTAGGTTTGTCAAAAATGTATTATGGATTTAAATTGAGATATAGCCTGAAAGAATTAATAAAGAAGGATGGGTGCAATATTTACAATGAAACACAAACACTTAATTTATTCAACAGCACATTACTTTAAGATGGACTACTGAATTGAATCACATGAGTGCACAAAGGTATGAAACTAGTACCCCCCTCGCTAATTATTGAAAACTTCTTTGCCAGGAGAAGTTTTGGGTAAGATTGAGTGAATTGACCACTGTATACTTATTTGACTAGGGCCAAGATATGAAACAAAAAGTGGAGAAAATGTATACCATGAAAAGTGGCAAATGATAAATAGATGTCTTAAGTTTCACTACATTTCGAAGAGGGATGCCCTTACTCGTGGTATAAATTTTCTACTCTTTTTTGTTTTCGATTTCACCGTACTACGGTAGTTTTTAATTGATATTTTTCTTTTAGGGTCAAAATCTATCAGAATGTATTTGTCACAACACATCACACAGTCATCCCATTTGAAAAAATAAGAAAGACATAGACTTAAGGTATTTTTAAATCTCTTCATGACCATAGTTACTATAGAACACATTAGTATAAGTCTTAGGAATTCTTCAGTGGCACCTTATGTGAGAAAATTCAGAAATGCCAAAGGTTGAAAAAACTTGACAGTGTGTAATCAGAACTAGAAGAAGGTCCTACTTCCAAAGGTGGTCATTAGTATGTTATACATCAACATGTGTGCCAAATGCATGAAAGTGCGAAAAAGATTTGACGAACAAGAAATGTTAACCTTTTTAATTGAACTAAAAGAAATACTTGTTACGTTTCTCCTATCATTTACCTTCAGGCTATCCATAACTTTAAATTTTAGAACTGATCAATTAATAAAACACACATTAAAAACTGTAAAGCATGTGTATGTCTTTGGCATCTCACCTGTATGCTGGCTTAGCATACTTCACGACACTGAGTAGAAGAGAGAGGCAAGTAACTATCTTTAACCATATTCCCATGGAAATATTCAATACAAAAATACATACAATAGAAAAAGATCCTTTAACATCGATTTTAAACTATTGTATAATATAATTTCTTTAACGATGATACAATAAAATAGTGCAAAAATATTCTCATACGGACAAATACATTACACATATATACACTTCATCGCAGATGAAAATACCTTACAAAAATAAATATCCCCCAGTGGCTTAGTGTTAAGTTTGAAACGACAAATTTTGCCTTACGTGTAGCTTTGCGCTTAACAAGAAACAAATAAAATAAATAACATTAATGTAGATAATTTATATGCATTTACAAGCTGACTAATAGCACCAAATAATTTTATTAGTAGTATTTGAATAAAGCACTTTTGGCTTTTACAAAATTATATTTCAGTGAAACACTCTTAGTCATACAAAATTCATACTCTGAGTGGCATATGTTATCTAATTAATTTATTTTTTAGTTTTATAAATGCTATATTTTATTCAAATAAATTTTTTTTACAAAAGTCATATTTTAAACGATATATTTTATTCAAGTAAAACATTTATATAGTTTTATAAAAGTAAAATATTAAACGACATATTTTATCCAAGAATGCATTTTTGTTTCATAAAAGACATGTTTTAAATGAAAAACTTTACTAAAATACTTTTGTTTGTAATATCATATTATAAATAACATCCTCTATATAAGTGAGAC